TACGTACTACGTACTACGTACTACGTACTACGTACTACGTACTACGTACTACGTACTACGTACGTACTACGTACTACTACTACTACTACTACTACTACTACTACTACTACTACTACTACTACTACTACCTACCTACCTACCTACCTACCTACCTACCCTACCTACCTCCTCCTCCTCCTCTCTCTCTCTCTCTCTCTCTCTCTCTCTCTCTCTCTCTCTCTCTCTCTCTCTCTCTCTCTCTCTCTCTCTCCACTTCATGGGCTAAAGTGGAGTATACGACTTATCACCATTTGTAGAAGTTTTGTGTTTAGAGTTCATTGAGGTGTTTTTACTTCTTCTGAAAATGCTACATATGCAGTATAACCTTATTAGTAATCTATTTTGACAAATAGTATGGAAAAAGGCTATATATTCCATGGGAACAAAATATGCACTTGCTTCCATGGGAAAAAAAACCTCATCTCACACTAAAAATTGTCCAAATGATGTCCCGCTTCACCAGGGAACACAAACCATCCATTTGTTAAATGGTCATATCTAGGTTTCTAAGAACTCAATTATTTTTCTTTTTTTTCTTTTTAAATTTTTTTGGAAATGTTGACGATATATTTGTATTACTGTACCCAAAAACTACAACGTATGATTTGGCGCACACAATGTGGCTTACTTGAAGATCATGTACAAAAAATGGTACTCAGGAAGAGCACACTATACATATATGAAATCATCATCGTCAAAGCCTTTTTCCAACTAATTGGGGTTGGCTATATGAATTATAGTTTGTCATTTTGCTCTATTAAGGGTCATACCCTCAATGTGGCTTGAAGTCCTCATCTATTTTCTCACTACTTCCAACCATATCTTTTTGGGTTTACCTCTTGTCGTTTTTTAGCTTTCCACTTGAACTAACTCGCACCTCCTAACAAGTTTTGTACTGGATTTGTGCTACATGGCCAGCCCACCTAAGTCTACTCTCTCTCATCTTATCGCTTATTTGTGCCACACCTAAATTTTTTTGAATATATTTATTTCGAATTCTATCCTTTCTTGTCTTACCACTCATCCATCTCAACATCTTCATCTCTGCTACATTCATTCTATTAGTATATTATTTTGATCATCCAACATTCTACCTAATAGGGCAAAGCTGGTCACACAGTTATCCTATAGAACTTGCACTTCAGCTTCATTGGTATGTGGCGATCACATAAATTATGGATGCACCTATCCACTTTGCCCACCCAACTCTGATTCTATGTGCGTCATCTTCCCCATTTTTCTAGATTATCAACCCAAGATATCTAAAGTGCGCTCTTTTTGGTATTTCCTGGTCATCGATCTTAACTGCTTCCTCGTCTCTACTCCTATTATTACTAAATTTGCATTCTATATGCTTCGTCTTTGTCCATCTAATTTTAAAACCTTTAGATTCTAGAGCATCTCTCTAAAGTTCTTTGTGTTTCGGGTCTCATTGATCAAAATTATGTCATCTGCGAACAACATGCACCATGAAACCTCATCTTGTAGGTACTCAATTAAGTCATCTATAACTAAGACAAAGAGGTATAAGCTCAATGCTGACCCTTGATGTAGACTTATTGTTGCTGAAAACTCACTCGTCTCTCCGCTAGTTGTTCATACACTAAGTAGCGCTTCATCGTACATATCTCTTACCAAGTCGATGTAGTGTTTGAAGATTCCTTTTTCTCCAACACCCACTACATCATATCTCGATGTACTCTATCATAAGCTTTCTCTAGATCAATAAAGACCATGTGGAGGTCTTTTCCCTTCGTCTTGGTTGTTGACCTTCCTGGCGTAAAACCGAATTGATTTTCTGATGCACTTGTTTTATGTTTTGGTCGTTGCTCAAGCACTCTCTCCCAAAGCTTCGTAGTGTAGCTCATAAGTTTGATCCCTCAATAGTTCGCACAATTATGTACGTCTCCTTTCTTCTTGTAAAAAATCTTGGGTAACCAAGCTCAAAAAGTTGTTGGATGGGTTCCGCCTATGAGTTTTGTAGCTCTCCTTTTGTGAATGCATCCACACTAGAGTTGGCCTATCGCCACATATGTTGGAAGGAGATGTGAATATGCCGGCAGAGGAAAGAAATTTTTCCAAGGATCTGCTCAAGGTGCAATGGCCAAGTGGAGGTACCTGAGGCCCATGCTATAACCTTTTATGAGTATCCCCTCTATGACCACGAAGTCCCCCCAAATCACGGTTGTATCTCTTAATACCCTCAAGACTGCAATTGCTTCCGCCATGGTGGAATCAGCAATGCTGATGTGAGAATATGAGAGGAGAGTGTTGCTATTGTGGTCTTGGAATAAGCCTCCATAAGCTCCTTGACCCGGGTTGCCTAGGAAGCAACCATTAAAGTTAAGCTTTTTTTGATTGGTCTCCGGGGGGTCTCCAAAGCGAGGATCGTGAAACGCAAGTAGTTCTAGCTACCAATATATGTTGCCAGCTGCTGAGGAAGCTGGTAGTCCGAATACCCTTAAAAATTTTAGTGATTTTGGGGCGAAGCAATCACCATGGACTTGATGCAGTTGTTTAGGCTGTTCGGATTGGTCTCCCTACCCTCAAAACATTCTCACATTTCTTTTGATCCACAGTGTCCTAATGGTTGCTGCAATTGATGGATGCCACAGAAAAATGCCTGCCACTGGGAAGGGAGGTGGTTAGAAGGCTTGAGAAAGTTGAAGAATCAATTGTGAGGTAAACCATTGTGCCACCGAAAACTTTGTGGCAGCTCAGATTATAGCAGCAAGGCCATCTTGCAGTGTAGAAACAGGTGGACATTGTTCTCTTCGACCATGTTGCACATGGGGCACCTGTTAGGAATGGGGAGCCCTCTACGTTGCAGCTTGTCCACTCTCTGAGACTTCACAAGGATAGCTATTCAGCAGAAGGGTTGAATTTCAGGTGGCACTAGAGTCGGAATTTCAGGTGGCACTTGAGTCAGCCACGCTCTTCTAGCAACAGTGTAGTAGGTAGGTGGGGTGGTTGATTGATGCAAAATATTGTGAAAGGAGAAAACCGAGAAAAAACCAAAAGCCGATGGAGACCAAATTATGCGGTCTGGACCTGATGGGGGAGATGGATGTTGCTTAGAAGTAACGGTAACGAAGCGAAGGCACCAGTTCATGGCCTGGAAGTGGCCTCCTAAACTGGGGCTCCATAACTCTGGTTTCTCCTAGTATTTCAAATGAATGGTCTATGGTGGCCTCCTGCCCTCCTGGTCTACAGCTAATTGGAAAAATGAGGGGTACCGAGTTTGCAAGGTCATGTATCCATTCCAGGTGTCAAGCCAGAATTTAACCCTCCTCCCCTGGCACAAAACCGAATGTTTTGGCTAGTCATGATGGAACGCCCTGCCCCCGACTATCTCATGGTTGTTTGGGAAGAGGGGAGCCAAGCAAAGGGGTCAAGATAGTATTTCTGCCTCGATACCACCTGCCATAGGTGGTTGGGTTGAGTGGCAAAGCACCACCACCACTTCCCCAGCAGAACTAAATCTTTTTTTCTTTCATTTTTTCTTTTTTTTTTTGTTGTTTATATGATGAATCAAGGATGTTTTGTGAAATTTCAGTTCGAAAGAAATCCTTCTAGGTCAATATTTTACCTAAGGGAATAAGTGTACAATATACTTCTACAGGAGCACAGTATATGCACTCAATATATTATTGCTCATTTATTTTTACTGGAGTGTTCTCTCTGGTCCTACGAGCTGCCATTCTATTTCTGAATTTCGAGACTCTTAAATCGCTCCCTTTTATATTTCTAAATGTGTTTGATTTGGAGATATCTTCCTCTAAATTCTTAGGGTATTATGGGGAATGTGGAAAGAGAGGAGGCTACATGGAGGTGACTGGTTTCAGCCGTGATGTTAAGGAGCAGATTTACAAGGTGGCCTCTGTAAACTTGTGTTCCAATATATCTGGTCAAATTCTTGCCAGCCTCGTAATGAGCCCTCCTAAGGTATGTTTTGTGCTATGAGTTTTCCTTTTTGGTAGTCTCCAGCAGTAGGAATAGAACTTGGGACAGTGTGGCAATTGTCAAATATCTAAGAAAACAAGCCTAAACCCGATTCCTGTCTTCTCGTAAGCGTTGAGAGTTTGACTTCTGGACTAATTCTTTAAATGATCAAATTCTAAATGAACTTGACTTTATGCAGCCTGGAGACGAGTCCTTCGAGTCTTTTACGGCAGAGAGAGATGGTATTTTGTCTTCTCTTGCAAGGCGTGCCAAGGTCAGTAAAAGAACCTCTTTTTTTATTTGAACTTTGGAGAAGAAAATCATGCTTCTGACCCATATGAGTTTATACTCTCTCTCTCTCTCTCTGTAGGCATAAAATTATTATTTTATTTATTTGATGATAAATTCAGTAAATTCTAATATACCTTGCCTTCTATTATCCTTGACTTTATGATAAAAATGTACATTCTATGCCTTAATACAAAGTTAACTTTCTCATGACAAAAAAAAAGGAATTCAATACAGAACTTCTCGATTTTGATGTTTTCAGGCACTGGAAAAGGCATTCAACAGTTTAGAAGGTGTAACCTGCAACAGAGCAGAGGGTGCCATGTATCTCTTCCCTCGCCTTCACCTGCCTGCAAAAGCAATCAAAGCTGCAGAAGCTCTGAATGTGGCTCCCGATGCTTATTATACTCACCGCCTACTCGACGCTACTGGCATAGTTGCCGTTCCAGGATCTGGTTTTGGGCAGGTGAGTTGCATTTAATGTGCATTTACAACTTAACACAGCTCTCTCTCTCTCTCATATCAATCGAGCGAAAAAGGGGTTTTTATCGTTTGCACGCTTTTTCTTTTTCTTTTTGGATTTTCTTCCTTCAGCATTTTCATTTTTCCCCCATTTTAGAGCACTTTTTGCTTTGTTCTCCTCTCTCATTAGACCTTTCCTTCTGTATTTTTTACCGACTTTTCTGGTTTAGTTCTTTGTATTGATCCTTAAAATTTTTGTCTTCCAGTCTTTTCCCATTGCTTTCTCCAGTTGCTTAAAAACTTGACTGCTTAGCTTTAATAACTTGTGAAATCATTTGAACATGTGGAACCGAAGATCATAGTGTAGTAGATTTACATACCATCCAGGAAACAAAGCCCCAATTCTGATTTGATAAAATGGAACTCATTGAATTTATGAATCAAAGCCAAGAAACATATAATTAATTCTCAAAAAATTGTGATTTATTCTTCTGTTGGTTACCAGGTCCCTGGCACTTGGCATGTTCGATACACAATTCTGCCCCAAGAGGATAAGATAGCAGCTGTCGTCTCCAAATTCACAGCTTTTCATGAAGCACTCATAGCCGAGTTTCGTGATTAATTATATGGGGAGAGTTATAATTTGTTATCCAATAAAATCTGCATCCATAGTTTTTCCTTTCTATGGATGTTTCAATGTATTTCTATCATGTAACATTGAGCTCAAAAAAACCAGTTTTATGTCCATGAAAAACGAAAAAAGAAAAGCCCTTTTTTTTTCATGGTAAAGGATTTTAACAGCATGTGTTGGGAGCCAGTTTGAGAGAATTTGCTGTGTGATGAATGGGAAGTGTTTCAATAAGTTATTCATTGAACTCACATTATATTTTTTGCCTATTGGACAAGTATTTATCAAGTGCATATAGTATGCTCCCTCAGGATTAAACTGTTCATTTGCTTCCTAAGATAAAAAATGTACTTGGAAAAATGTTTTGGATCTGAAAATTTGGGATCCATTTAAATATCGTCATGTGATTATTTAAACAGAAAAAAAGATATTGGATTTTGATCTCTTTTAACACTTGGATCTTGTTGTCCAAAAATTGATGTTCATTTTTGGGACTTTATTTTATATCTTTTTTAGGCTCATAGAATGCATTTAAATTTTTCTCTTTTCTAGAGTTTTGTCTCTAGATAGTCTAGGGTAAAATCCCAAAATTTGGCCTCCAAAAAGAATATTTTGTCCTAAGGGAGTAAATTGATAGTTTGATCCCGCAAGAGCACAAATCATTTGGTGCCCTTAAAACTCTAGTTTGTATTTTGTACAAGGGAGTAAAAGGACTGTTTGCTCCCACAGCACAAGATCATTTGCCTTCATTCAAAGAGGAAGATCTTAGGGCATAACTTGGAGAAATTGAGAGTGAATTTGAGAAGGCTAATTCTTTTCCAACTTTTTGGGATCGGCAGTGAAAAAAAAAATATTGAGGCATATACATCATCAGAAGATCACCAGGAACAAGGGAACTTTAAGATCATCAGTAGATTACAAGACACAAGGGAACTGTAAGACATCAAATTAATTAGATGATAGCATTATTTCGTTTTGGGAATTGAATAAAGCCAAAAGATATTATATTTACTCCGGTTAAAACTCCACCTAGAATTAATTTTAAGACCTCCAAATTTTGGGATATAATATCTTCAACTCATAGATTAAGCTCAATACAAAAAGGTTCTAGTTGTACCTTTTATACGCTTGAAAAAAAATATCTCGAGATTGAATAAATACCATCTAATTTTTAGATGTTTTTAGATGGTGAGATATAAGTGTTAGAAAACTCAAATTTCAAATTTTTTTCTTTTGGAGAATAATCATCTCGTGATTCCAAGTGGTTTCCAAAATTTCAAATTGAATTTCTTGGGAGAATAATCATCTCCCACCTACTGACCGAGGGAGTAGAAGTGAATTATGCTCCTGAGGGATATACATACTCTTGAATAAAATTAACTGTAGTTATTTGAAAGAACTATTTGAAGTAGTTTTAGACAGGAAATTTCTCGTTAATATGCCCGACTAGGAGAATTAGTTTTAGATATGGGATAATGTAAATGTACTTGTTTAAGACCACATATCATATGTGCTAACGAGGGTTATCATCGACCAATTATGCAGGGTGGTGGCGCTGCTCCAGGAGAATATGGCACAACTAGATCTCTCTCGCTCTCAACCGTCCATTCCATTTATAGGATGGTGATGGGTGACCGTAATGTGATTACATAACAAACTTATATTTAAGGATGTATTTCAAGATTCCATTTACTTATAGTATAAGGTCATAATCACCTTTAGTTGCTCATGTAAAAAATGTGTAACAAATCCTAAATATAAAACCTAATCGCTTTAAATGTGTGACAAATCCTCAAAACAAAAAAAAAAAAAATTGACAAATATTATTTACTTTATTTATAAAATCTACTAAAAAGAAATTATATCAGAGGAGATTGCTAAAGCAGACAAAGAGGCTCCCCCTTTTGCCAGAAAGTCAATCAAAAAATTTGTCTCGCAAAAGACATGACAAAAAAAAATTGAAAGTGGAGCCAACGGCGACATCCAAAGGTAAATGGCAAGACTCCTAATCCCTTAAAATTGTATCCAACGGCCACGTTCAAAGGTAATGGGTGTTATTCAAAGCATATATCAAGGTTTTTAGGTGAGAGTAAACAGATCTTCACAAAAACTAAACAAATAAAATAAAATCACTTTAAACCCGGTTAATGGCAAGACTCCTAGTCCCTTGAATTATATCCAACAGCCACGTCCAAAGGTAAAGGGTGTTATTCAAAGCATATATCAAGGTTTTTAGGAGAGAGTAAACATATCTTCACAAAAACTAAACAAATAAAATAAAATCACATTATAATAATTTAATTAAGGACATCGTTTCCATGTCTCCATATAGAAATGAGTCCTCTCTTAAAAATCTATTTTTGAGATGGATTTTGTGACCCAATTTTAAAAGGACATGTCATCTCTAACATGGAGATCATAAATATCGAAAAGTATATAAATTTTATAAATTAAAAATATTAATTTTATGAAGAAAATATTTGGACTGTTAGTTTCAATTGTTTCTAGATTAACCATCCATTCTCGTTCGTATTTAACATGGATGCGTTATACCTCAAGGACGCAAATGCAGAAATGTGTCCTTTAAATAATAACTTTGTTGAGAAAACTACAATATTTGGATAGAATGAAGTTTCTAAAGCAGCATCTTCCCACCAATCAATAGAACTAGACCTTTTGGAAGATAGATGGGACTCATGAGCGAATATACTACGCTCCCGCAAGAGCATACTATTCATCGACTCTCTTACTCAAAACACCCATATACGAGGTTTTTTTAATCTAAAATTTGGGGAGCCACATAAAAACTACTAGATGACTATTTTTTAATTTGTGACACCTAGATCTAGCCCTTCAAAACTTGGACGGTTTCTATTCAACCTTGAGGCATCAGTTTTCTCTAGTACGCAAAGTTACTTAAAAATAAAAAAATTGTTTTATGACTATTCTATGGGTTGTAGAAATTACATCCCCAAATTTTGAGATCTAAATAACATCCCTAACATGTATTTTGGCCCAAGGGAGTAACAATATACTCGCAATGAGGTTTGAAATCTTTTGGCCTCAGTTATTGGAATAATGTCCTTTCGAAATTTTACCAGGAAATTTATTGAGATATTATCTGGTGTCACTTTTTTTATCAGGATCTTATCAAAAGCTGACTAATGAATTAACATATCATTCATTATGAAATACACGTGTTAGAAATAGTAAATGCAAATTAGAACAATTTAAAAAACAGAATATGATCAAAATGTCGTAAATGATAAAGTCTTTCTCATAATTTTAATGCATTTCAAACCCAAAATATAAAAAGTCCATTCCTCAAAAAAAAACAAACCCCTCCCCTTATTTAGATTTAAACGAGAAATTTAGTTAAATCACATATTTTGAATTTCGAATTGTTAGGGACAACACAAGCCCAAATCATGGTTGGCTCAACCAGGGGTTGGCGGTGCGTTATGTTGAATGCCTACTTGCTGCTATGCTACATATAACAGAAATTTCATGTTTCCAATGCGCGTATTTCAGTACCGTTTGCAAGCAAGCAAGTGGCTAATTTTGCTTTCAGACACCATGTATTTCTCATATCTTGGAGGCAAGCCCAATATATCATGATCGATTGATTTTATCAAGATATTACCAAAGTTATTATCAAAACAAACTTTATCATGATAAAAATATCGATAAATTCATCGGTGATATTTGTCATTAATAATTTTGCATGGACAAAAAGTTTCAATTTTTTTTTGTCATAAAAGAAATAAGTTTGAAAATATACATCACAATCATTATTGATCATCAAACATGTGAGATCATTATCATTAGATGTGTGATTTGCTTGGGAATGCATCATTGACTGGGTGCGAAGTTTTAAATAAAATCTCAGATGTTGTAAAACAATTTCATCTGAGATTTTACATCCAGTGGCCAAATGTAATTGTGATATTTTTGTACCAAAAGCGAATGACCTTGTAGTATAGAATCTCAATAGAAAGACTGTAAACCTTCGAGATGCCAACAAACCCTAGTTAAAATCTTAAAACAGAAGACAATAGTGCGACAAGTTTAAATTAAAATGATAACTGGCTGGCTATTTTTGACCAAGTAAAGAAATCCACGATAGAAAGTTCCGTCAAGGGAAAACAAGAAAAAGGGAATGGAAGATCATGGGGAGAAGCCTTGAAATACTCAAACTGGTTCAGTAAAAAGTGGGTCTAACTATAGGCGATTTATGACGGCCTCCACCTCCGCAGGGGTATAAAGTTGGTATGTCGGGGCCACCTTTGCAATATCGACGTTGTTCGGTGTCACCTGACCAAAACCCACAATTCATAATGACGACGACAATGATGATGACATTCAGAGAGAGAGAGACAATGACCACAGTTCAGCAAACGTCGTATCTCCCTTTACTCTCACACTTTTACTGCATATTTCTTATTATGAAAGAGAAGGTAAGATAACCATTCAGCGAGATAACAAACCTTTTCTTCCATTACTTGCTTTAGGATGGAAAGTGCAATGGTTTCAGCTTCTTGGAGGGTAATTTCCTGCAACAGTAATGCATCAAATCATAGTCATGATTCTAAATATTTTGACACGGACCTAAATAAATGGATGCACTACGGATTAGGAAACAAAACCTTGTTATATTGCTCTTGTAAAGAGCTGTCAGCTCCTTCAGAGCCAGACCCTATGGCTTTTGCATTGCATTGCCAGAATGTGCCAGAAGGATCTGTATAGTACCTGCAAACGCCAAAACAATGTCAGACTGACTAGCAGAACTAATCATTATAATCCATGTCTCCCAATTCACTATTGCACATAGAATTGCAGATGAAATGCACTGACACATCCCAGGTGGCTCTGTGTATATGCGTGTCACACAGTTTTCCCATTAACCTGTCTGAGCAGTAGCAATGCGTATGTACAAGTTGCAAGGGAAATTATTTGAAATGGATGGTGAAAGCTATAGAAGTAGTATACAAACATGTAATGTAATAGATAAAAGAAAGAACTTTATGAATGATGTATACAAGGATTAAGGATAGTTAAATTACACATCACAAAAATACAAAGATATACATGGCAACAATATTAAGAGGGAGTATCAGAATTAAATTTTGGGGTTTACAGAAGGGTTGACTAAGTATGCTCTCCACTCATGAAATGCAGATGGAAATGGAAGGGAGATGATAAGATATAGCCCCAAACTTTAATTTTTTGATCAGTAATTCTACCTCCATTTGTTTCATCAATTCAAGCAAGAACATATTTGATGCACGGTATATGAAGCTAGTATTATGAACAATGCTTTCTTTGTATACAACTGTACAATGACCAAATAATGGAATAGAAGCTAGTATTATGACCAAGGCTTTCTTTGCATGTACTTGTATGATGACCAAATAATGGAATAGAAGAAAGAAAAGTACCCGAGTCATAAAAAAAAAGACATCATATACATTTCAATGGTGTGCCTAACATAAATGTACCCCTTCTCCGCACTTGGTTCAATGAAATTGTCTCACATTGACTTGTTTCTTACACACAGATGAGGCAAAAGATGATAGAATATCTAAGGTCCAACCACTTTGCAACTGTGTCAATAATATGAATGGTCATGATGACGAACATAGTCATACATCAGGTGGAATGAGGTTTGCAAGGCTACAGATCATCACAGGTCCAACTATCTTTGTGAGACAGGTCACGGTGATCTAAGTACAATTATAGCGAACATGGGTGGGGAGTGAAGAATCTGAAATAATTGCACAAGGTTTAGGGGTTGATGGGGTCATAAGTGAGGTAAGGGTGCAGTTCAGTACAGACATCAGATTTAGGGTTAGGGCGCTCAGTATGTGATTGCAAAGGGCTTGTTTCCGATGCATGCTGGATTGGCTAGCAATCCAGGCATCAGAGTAAAGACTTGATCGGCTCAAGAATGTGTAGTAGTAGAGCCAATTATTGTAATCATTTGATCTTAGGAGGACCCTAACGAGGGTAAGTCGAGTCATCTCTTATCTCCTCTATTCTCAAGATTCCCAAGACCTGTTCCTGTTAAGTTTACAGATGGTTCTTCCTGTTCCTGTTAAGTTTACAGATGGTTCTTCCTGTTAAGTTTGCATATGGAACCATATCTATTTTCCCTTCTCTTTTACCTTCGCCCCTGTCACCGTGTTGATTAACTCTCTTTTACCATCTACCATTGAGTCATGTTGGTTAACTTTCTTCCCATCCTATTCTGTTTTCTCAAGATATGAAAGAGAGGGAGAATGCATTGTGGTAGTACTGAATCTTCGGGACTGCACTACCTCTACCTATAAAAGGAGCTCTTATGAGGTGCCACTCAATCAGTGGAAGCAACAATAGGAACCAACTCCAATGGAACGTGCAATGATCACCTTTAGTAGCTTAGCTTCTCCTTTTCCAAGTCTCTTTAATTTGAAAATTACAAACCGTCAGTTCGAAACATTATTTGTTAAGTTATGTAAGACTACTTATATCCGGCAGTTGACCTTCATTATGTTATCCTTTCACATTTCCAGGTCTACACCTGCTACTTCTTTGGTTTGTCGGTATCTCGTTCGTCCATTGATAATTATTACAAAATAAGCCCATCCTAGTTGATTAAAAAGAGCTGCTAAAGTATAAAGGATCCTTAATCTTCGAACATTCACAATATTATCAACCCAATTGAGTACTGAATTGTAACCAAGCATCTTGCCCCACCTTCCTCAACAAGATGGGGCTCCTAAGAGGAAGAATAGACAATTGAAAGTCACCCAGTCACTTTCTTGATTTCTATGAAGGTGCTTACATATTGGCCGGATGTCATTGAATTGCAATATTGCATATATTAGAAGTATTCTTACCATACTTTAAAAAATAAATTGCATTTGCCTATTTGCACAGTAAACTATATATATTCGATGATTTTTCAGTTTTGTGTCATGTAACAAGGAAGGCAATTCTCTCATAATGTATGTACTTATACCTAATATTCCACGTCCACTCATAACCTACCAGACTAAGGTACCATTAACCTTAAGGTACCATTAACCAACCATTTATTGCAACTATATAATGGGATAGATCCACGGTGGCAGTGTTGGCCAAGAAAGTCAAGAACCTAGTGGCCTTTTGGGCCATGAACCACAAGCTCTTCAAGGACTTCTCCTTTACTGATTTCCATAGCAATTAGCAGAATTTGCTGCATCTGGCCTATCCTTGGATCTTGCAGGCATCGCTTTGGAGACCACCAGAACAGGTATCCATTAAGCTTAACTTCGATGGTTGCTCCCTTGGCAACCCTAGAGCATCCGGAATTGATGATGTCTTTCAATCAAGTAATTGATGCACCTTGTTATCCTATTCCTGCCCCATCGATATGGCGGACTCCACTCTTGCCAAGGCCCTAGCCCTCTTGGAGGGCCTTCGCAAGTTTGACCACACATGGAGTCCCGCTCTGGTGGTGGAAGGGGATTCCAACAACGTTATGGGCATCTAATCTCTCATCTTGGCCGTGGCATCTAGACAACATATTCGCCAAGATTTCCCACTTATCTCGTGGTTTCAGAATCTCATGGTCCCATGCTTTTAGAGAAGCCAACTCTACGCAGATCGATTGGCTAGGGAGGGGGCCCATTCTAATTCCCTGATGGGGCCTTAGGCTTTTGCGGCCACCCTTTTCTTTCCCCGCTTCTTTGATCTGTAATTCTCTCATTGTAAAGAATTTTTGGACTCTACGGGTCATGTATAGAGTGCCCTTTCCTGGTCACCTCTTTTTTTGTATACTCTATTATTCAGTTATACAGTTATAGTGAATTTTATAAAAAACTATATAATGGGATAGCCGAGCTCAGTAAAAGGGTGTGTAACTCACATGAGGTTACATAAAGTGGCTGGACTACTGCCCATTAAAAAAAACACACTATATAATGGGACAGGTCTAAAAAGATTGCAACTCAGAGCTCATTCTATAACTTTTTTAATATCTCCATATCAACCTCAAAGACAGTTGTTTTGCCAACAATGAAACCAAAAAGGGGGGAACAAAAAGGTGTTTTAGATTGATATTGAAGTTTAACTGTGGCGGAACAATGAAGACTGCAATTTCAGTAGCTTCTAGCTCATTTACTACATAGTAGTCTTGAACTCCTGATTCAAATAAATGTACCTCATGATATCTTCTTTGACACCTAAAACTTTCTGATTTTATTTTCTTGAGTAAGCGGTGACGATATACATTAAATAGTAAATTATGTTTTACAAAAGCCCATGAGGTGTGGATGACGACGGCATCCCACATGTCGGGTGCTCAGAAGCATACAATAAAACAAAATCCCTGCTTACAAAAAAGAATGTCCATGCGTGCGTGCGTGCGTGTGTGTGTTCTACTGGAAAACAGAGAATAAAACCAAAAAAAAATTACCATGTCAAAATCACACATGGATGGATGTCAATGGTAGAACGGCGCCTATTTTGCTAAGGATTGAGGAATGAGTTTCTCTCCTGCCAGGTATGATGGAAGCCGATTCTAAGTGGCCTCCATAAATGAGCAATATGTTTGAAAATATGGTTATCAACAAGAAAGTTGTGATGCGTTCGTTGCGGATGATATGATATTCCTGGAGTCCGCCCCTACGAGAGAATGATTCCCCCAACTAGGATTGAATCTCTTGAGAGCGTTGAGTAAAGTGCTTGCCCACATTGGATTGTGAGAGTTAATTATTTTGTTTTGTAAGATTTCATTCTAGTTGGTTCATGATCTGATTTGTGAGAAGCCTTTTAGTAGCTTGCAGCAGAATATACCCAGAAGATCGCTAACAAGCTAGCTTTATCTGTTGTTGCTATCGTGCAACTCTTGGATTCTCGGAAAATGCATAAATTACGTTCCCGCCATATGAACCACAGTATAGCTTAGATGGAAGCTCTTGATAGAAAGCAGCTTGCCGAGGTGAACGACGGAGAACACTAGGTAGAGAAGAGTTGTTAGATTGACATTGGGGTGATCCATTGCCAATCAAAGTCACTAAGATGCTTGTTCCAAACTTTTTTTGGCAAGTTTGCAATGGAGAAAAAGGAAAGTGTGTGATTCTATTTCCTCCCCACAGTCCAAACACAGAGCGTCTGTTGGCAATGCTGAAACCTCTCCTTTTGAGTTGGTCAAGAGTCGAAGTTTCTGTTGGAAATGGTCAGCCAATTCAAAACTTGGATTTTTAGGAGTTTGGGTGCTCCAAGCTTTGATGTGTGCAGTGGGAATGGAAGAATGGTTGGGATCAATTATTCTGCAGAAAGATGAGACTGAGAAAGTTCCAGTATGGTTTTTGGTCCAAATGGGCTTGTTGAGACCAGATACTTTGATGAAGCTCAAGGCAAGAAGGCACAGGAGGTTGAGCAGGTCATCATCTAGTTTGTGGTCTTGGAAGCTCTTCCGAAAATGGGTGTCTGTTTTGATCGAAATATTGGGCAACAGTGGCATCTAGCTTGCTGGCTATAGAAAACAAATTAGGCCACATTTATTTTAAAAAGCATGTCGCCTATCCAAGTGCGCTTCCAGAAGAAAACCTTTTCTCCTGAGTTGACTTAAAAACAACCTCCTAAGTTGACTTTAAAATGAATGGAAAGCATGAAAAGATGATAAGTCTGCCAGGGAGATTGCAATTCATTCCAATACATTGTGTCTCTTTATAGGCCTTTACAACAGTTATCAAACCACCCACAAACAGGCTACAGGCTACGTG